GTCTGAGAAATTCTTAAGTGATATTCCCATCTTTTGGTATTTTTAATTACAAGCGTTTTTTATTTCCTTGCTATTTCAACATTAGTTACTATTTGCGCATCATTTATTTTATTTTTTTTATTATTTCATCATCTGAACTTTTACAGTATTTATTGCTTTTAAAACTAGCTCGCTAACAATTTCTTTCAATTTATCGATACTTTGCGGTTTATTTTTTATTCGAAAATAACCTGCATTTGTTGTTAAATCGAATTTGTTTTCTAACAAACTATGAATTTCCTCCTGAATTTCCTTTTGAATTTCCTCCTTTACCTCTTATTTCTAACTTACTTTCAACTACATACGTCTCTCTATCTCCAACACAATTCTCAAGCTGATCGTTATTATTGAATACTTTATATTTGTTAATGCAGCTTTTCATACACTTTTTATAATTGCTGCCTTCTGTTTTTTACATCGTGCCAATTCGCATATTCGTTTAATTCCCTCCAACCTCTTAAGCTCTGGTTTACCTTCGCTTCCAGGCCGCCTGTTAAGGTCGGCCAGCCTTCCGCTGTCGCGTCAGCGGCCTGCGCGCCCGCTGTCTACTTGAGTTTCGACGCGTCGAGGCGGGCACCAGCCGCCCTCGTCTCCGGAAAATGCCGTCTCCAGCACTGCCGCCACGCACTCTCACTGTCTCAGGCACTCAACGCCACGTATTACTACTCCAGTTTACTCTTAAATTTCCTCAAAACTGGAACGCCCCACTTTTCACTACTCTCTGCCCTCTCACGTTTCCCTTTTTCTCAACTGTCAGTTGTCTGTTATACCGAGATCTTGGATATCGAACGAAAAGATAGGCACCTCTCAAAATCAGCCCGTACTCTGCGGAATTTTCTTTCAATTTCCACGCGCATTGGAAATTAGTAATAGAGATGACAATAATATTTACAAAATTCATAATTCAGTTCTCTTTAGTATTTTAATATTAATAAAGATGAATTTTGGGGTCTAAAGAAATCTCTCCTTGACACCCACTGTATATTGTTGCAAGTAGTGCTGATAAGCGACCTTTACAAGAATACATCAAAAATCAATTAACTAGAAATTGGTTTTCAAAATACTAACAAGTATCCAAACACTACAAATACATTTTTCTTAAAACGAATTATTTTGTTTTAGTCTAAGAATCATTTAAGACAGTTATTGTGTTTTAAAACTATAAACCCATATTAAATTTAGAAACTTGACGTCGTAAATTTATTTCCTTATGCTTATCTCCAAACATACAAAGCTTCTTTCTTGTTTTTTGAGGAAAAGGTCTCTGGAGATAAATTGCAAATATCACTTAACAGCATCTTACAGGTCACAAAGCTTTCGCGGATATTTTATTACCTTGTTTACTGCGTTTCCACGAAGACCCGCTCACAAGCAGATTACCTTCGCATTCCTACGATGAATACGGATAAGACAACAAGACACTTATCACGTATGGAGTCTAACATGATGTAACTAAATGTAAATTTGGGCAACTCATGGGAGACTTGAAACGCGACATATTTAGTTTTCATTGTGGAATTAAATATTCAAGACTCTGCAGAATAAAGCTTAAAGATTTTGATTTCTTTAAGCAAGGCTCCGAGGACTTTGAAGACTATGTAAAATGTGTCAGCAAAAGAAACAAAGTACCGATTTCATGAATGGTGCTGTTAATACTGGCTCTGCGTGAGAAATCTAGAGGCCGACGACCGGGGATTCATCTCATGACTTTTTCTCAGATGCTGGAGCAGCATATTTGAATGTATTTCTGTTTTAAGTATTTGCACCTTTTCGTGTCTACAGACGGTCCCGTTCCGGATGAGAATTATTTTTCCAGATATAACCACCGAGATACTTACAGGGCTTCCCTGCAACAATGTAGCCCATGAGCCCATATTCCGCCCGTCCGCCTTAGTATCCGTCTTTAAACAACACTAGCGACTAAACCATTCAGCCATTTTTTTTTCAAAATTGATATTATCCAATCGATGTGGCTGATATCGCAGCTACTTGAATTCGAAATCGATATTTTAGTTTTGGATGGTACTATACATGATGCCCCAGAGGTATTTTCAAAATGTTCAAAAAACGGCTCCATCGTTTTTGATTAGATTTTGTAGTTGGATAGCGTAGAAAACATTTAAGAGAATGGTGCTGGTCTCATTTTCGTTGAAAACCCTAATTTTTTCAAAATTGAAATTTTTTTAGTTTTTCTGCGTCTTCCTGCAGCTGCAATTATGAAGATAAAGATTTTTCCCTTAATGAAATCTGTTCGTTAAAGATAGATTTTGAAATAAGATGAAGTACAATTTTTCTAAAATTTGAGTAATTTTGTCGTACTTTTACGTGAAAATACAGATGAGAAAGTACGCACTTTTTAGCACCACTAGTTGCCTCATCGTCTCACTTTTGACACACACACGTAATCTCCCACGTACTTCACCAATCAACTAATCAAACGAAAGACGTCGACGCTTGGGCCTTGAAGCAGTGTGTCCGCAGTTCGATCCCCAGGCGGGGCTGCCGCGCCAAGTGGGTCAGCGGACGCGGAGGCGCGGGTGATTGCCCTTGGGGGCTGTGGCCTCAGGGCCGCTGCCGCGCCCCCCCTCCCCCCGACCGCCGGGCAGCGAGAGAAAGTGCGGCTCCCTTCCACGGTCAGGGTCGCAACGCTTGCGCACAGCGCCGGCGATCTACAATAGCATTACAACTGGGGTAATAAATGATGACCGAAACGACACAACATGGTTTTCCACAAAAGGGGATGGACATTGTTCAAGAAATAGAGTAAACGCGGAATATTTTTTTTTTTTTACAAAAACAGTACTCGCGGATACTGCAATAACGTTCTTCACATGCCAAGCAGCAGTTCCTTGCATGCCAAGAATATCAAGAACGTTGCTGATCTAAACCGCAACATATGAATAGCAAATATTTAATGAAGTTAACCTCTTCTTTCGAACCTTCTTGTCCCATAACATCAGCTGTATTGAAAGCAGTGCCTCATTGAGTATAAAGATTCAATCGGTAGGCGCAGTATGAGAATAGTCGGAATAGCACAATCATAAATTTGCATTTATTCAATCGAAATTGAGTGTTTTTGGTTTGCCTGGGCGGTGCCCCGCTGGTGGGAGATACTGGTTAGGGAAAATTCCTGAAGCTGAAGGGCTGGTCGCACATGTTAAAAACATGCACCGCACTTACGGGAATAATGTTCTTAGCCGTTTACATTCCCGGAGTCACTAATCAATTATTCAATCCAAAAACGAAATAAGTACTATGTATTTACTGTATATTTGTGCTATGTATATATAATTTCGTATGATAAGGCGTATTAAAAAACATAGATCAGCTCCACCTGCCAACAACATCTTCTCAACTTCTTCATACATTCTCCGCGTGTTATCTCTACGCTCAATGCACGTTGCTCACATGTTTCCCTAGTTGTTTCCCGAATATTTCGGTACTAGTCTCTTCCGGTTAACCACATGTTTCCAGCACATACTTCTACATGTAGCTCACCACTTTCCACGCATGTTCCCCCATTCGATCCCCCACATTTCCTCGCACGTTCATCGCATGTTCTTCTCCATATTCTCCCGTATGTTTCCCACACTTTCCTTCAAAAGTTGCCCCATACGTTCTCCCATTTTCACTCCATTTCCGAGCATATAATTGGAAAGCTAACTGGAAATTCAAAAACTTACACTCAAATTTTTTTATTATTAAATGACGGCATTATTGTCGGCATATGGTGCTGTGGCCTCCCTGGCGGATGAACCAGGAAGTTTTCAGAGGTAGAGTACCCAGAAGACCGGAAATTCCAAAAAATGTAGTAGAAGGGGTTCTTCGCTTACCTCCAAAAACCGCCACTTTTGAAATCATTGTTCTAAAACAAATGGGATTCACGTTCCAGGCGTTCTATTCGATGGGGCAAGATACATTCTGAAATGAAGCAGGACATCTACATTGGCGCATATTGTAGATCGCGGCTTGAAAATTATAAATTGTGCTCCTTCTGGGAACCAAAGCTGATTGTAAGGCCCGAAGACTTCGTTTACAAACGTATACACGGAGTACAGTAGTACGGACACCCAGCCAGTAATGTTAAGCTGCGGAAAATCTATTTCGATTTTAATGGTAATATACGTTATGGGGTCTCCCTAAACTGAAGAAGTGTTTTGCTTAAAAAATCCGCCTATCTATTAGTCTGTCTGTGAACAACAGTAACGTCTAAACTATTCCTATGATTTTTTTCTAAAATTAATATCTTCTAATCGATTCGTCTCGACCCGAAGCCCTGCAATTTTAAAAATAATTCTTTATACAATTGGGTGCACTTTAAAGAGAACTTGTGGGTTTGCGATTTATTATAAAGTGCACAAAACCATTACAGTGCATTGCTTAGAGAGGGAGTATCAGAATGTTTGTCTGTGATTGTAAAATGATTTCTGAGAAGTGTGTGTGAGTGTGTGAGCGTAGGCATATTTAATCCCACTTTTAAATTTTTGAGAGAGCGAATAAGTTTTTCTCTAACTTTACGAACCTGCTTTCAAATAACTTACATCAGTTGATCCTGGAGAATTTTTAACATTGTCTTAATGGCACCTAAGTCATAGGAATATTTTGACTCACGATATTACTATTCTGTAGTCTATCGTTGTTTTATTCGTTAAGAATGATAAGTTATTAATGCCTAAATAAATACCTATATTTTCATTTTATTTGCTTATTTATTTGGGTATTTAAGAATTTTACATGCCTATTTAGTCTCCCAAGTTTTAATGTATTTAGTGCCTAAAAATTCGCAGCTTAGCCATCACTATATCATTAGTCTTTCCTTAAGAGGGTACATAGGCGACTGTGATTATTTATGCTGAGTTAATATTATAAACTGATAATATAATGTAATAAAAATTGAGCATTTTGTTTACACGTAAACTGGCGTAGAATTGTTTGATTGACGAATATTTCGTGTGTTGCAGCTCCCTACCTCAAGCCCTGCAGCATCAAGTTGAGTTCCAAGGAGATGACTAAATGTGCTGTGAAGCACGCGAACGAAGCTCTCCCTCACGTCACAAAAGGTCAGACTCGCACTCGGAATTTGGCAAACAATAGTGTGTGTAAGATATAGCAGATATATGTAGTGCGATGGGGGATCTATGGCGAAGGGGTGATTCTCAGAATTGTTTTGAAAAATATTATATTTAATTAGAAAAATTGTATTTTTTACGAATAATGAAATGAATTCAAATTTGTAATATAAGACACTTTTACACTATCTTATTATCTCTGTATTCTATCTCTGTAAAGCAAATTTTAATAATGTGTTTTTTTTAAATTCTCTGTCAACGGATCTCTAATCTGGAAAATTTTAGTTTTCTGCATATTTCCTTGTTCGTGTAATAGTATAGGAGTAAATATAATTTTGGAAATATAATTTTAAAAACTGTATCTTTAATCTGATGTAAATTATAATCTACAATATTCTTTAAATACAATGGCCATGCCTTCTATGCCTTGTAATTGGTGTAAGTATTAATAAATACGTCCCAGCTATAAGTTAGACTATATTAGTAATTTAACTAATTTAGTCACTTTTTTTGCTTTGTAAAATATGAGTGCAAATCCCATGGTTCCCATTGGCGCTAGTTTTCTCTAGTACATGATACAATAACGTCTTTGCTTAAATGCATCGTGTGGCGGCAGGCACAAGGCTGTTTCTGTGTACTGATGTTAATGGCAAACTGTCTTCATCCCTTTTCGACTAATTTGCCCCTTTATTTAAGAACACATAAATATGCTGCCCTTAGAAATATATTTACAATTGCATTACATTATTCTTCCTGTAAAATTGTGGCATATACTATGTTCTTTAAATACAAGCACATTTCATAAGTGTCTAATTAATTATATGCAGTAGGAGGCATGGTCATTGAATTTAAATGAATTCGTTTAAAGTAACCAACTACATACCAATAAAATTTGTTTTTATTTTCATGCCAAACAGTTCATTAAATTTAAGTTAACTTTATTATTTTTCATTAAATTACAAATTATAGCTTTTTTACGCCGTGAACATAATGAAAGAAACAATTTACGTATATTTGAAAATATATTATTAACAATTGATGACGTATATTTCTGCAATTAAAAAATAAGCCTTTTAACTGCCTACTATCTAAACAGTTTATCTAAAAATTTGAAAGACATGTTCAAATTTTAAATGATTAGAACTTCTACAATTTCTATATAAAATATATTTGTATCTAAAGCAGATATTTTTCAGAAAGAAGAAGTGATCTTTTCATAATGCTTTGTGATTGTATATATTATCCTCCACAATCTCCATGCATTCAAAAAACAAGACAATGTCTTTAATAAAAAACACAATTTCAGAACTTTCGATGGGTTTATTTTGATTAAATTAAAATTGTGAAATGGTTTAATTCATGCACAATGCCCATGAAAGAAAAAATATTTCATAATAATTAGATCATTTTTGCAAATTATAACCTGATATTACATGGAATTATGGTATGAATCAAATTCTGTTTCACTTAATAGCGAGTGTTGTATGGGATAGTCAAAATCACATGTGGTACATGCCAAAAAATGTTTAAAACTTTAAAAAAATTTAAAAAGTCAACAAATTTTGAAAGGAGAATTGAATCAAAATAATGTTAAAATGTAGAGAGGGCAATAAAGAAGATATATGTAGGAAGCATAGCCGGTAGGAGGCGTCGGGGCAGGCCGAGGTGAAGATGGAATGGTGAGATGGAAGATCTAAGAACTCTAAGAGTCAAAAGATGGAGAAGAAAAGCAGAAGACTGAAGAGAGTGGGTTACCGTAATAAAAAAAACCATGGCAAAAGTACAGTGCCGACCAGCTGACTGAAGCCGTCAAAATGAGCTTCAAACTATGTCATTTTCAAAGTTCATTGTAATAAGTTTGCATTGATAAACTAACACAGGGAACCCTATCAATGCACCATCCCTGATTGCAGGGGATCGCAAATACCGCATCCCGTCCATGGACCCCTTGCTGGTGGACAGCCTGCAAGTGGACGACGGCCACGGCCCCCTCGGGCTCAACATGCTCATCACGCAAGCCAAGGTGCACGGCATTCCCAAAACAGTCATCAACAACGTGGAGTAAGTGCAGAAGCGATTAATCGCAGTTCATTAAAGGGAGTACTTCGGGTTTCAGGCACGCCAATTACATTGGACATTGGGCCTCATTCATAACACTAACTTAACCAAACAGGCAGTTCACCGAACATGGAAGCTGCGACGCTTTTAACTTTCTTTGAACGATCCTAATAAACAAGTTTAAGAAGAAAAAAACATTGAAGCAGATTTTGAGAATTTTTTAATAAATTCCATTAACTCGAAACAAAAAGTACGGGAAATCTATTCGTTTCGGAAAAAAAAAATACATGATCTTATTTAAATGTCTATTTATAAAATATATTTAATTTTGTAAAAAAATCTCTACAACAATACTTTTGAAATCTTCATTTTCTGCGATTTACGAAATACTGAGATGGCAGAAAATGGGATCCGGTGCATTTTCAAGTTTTTTGTATCCTATTTGAGGAGGAAAACACATAATAAAATTCTCGCTGTGAGTGAGAAAATAAGATAGCAGACACTGAAAAAAGTTTGAACTTTCACAATTTTCAAAAATTTAAATATTGCAAGGAAAATGAAACCTGCTAGACCTTTTATGGAAATCGGTCCAGACAATGAGGTTTGATATTCCATTTTGCCGGTTTTAAGTTAACGGTGGGAAGAAAGAATGATCGATGTCCAGAACTTAGAAACTTTTTGAATGTTCTTCAATATTTGAAGGTCTTTGACATCGAACGTTTTTGTTTTCTCCGATTCAAATATAGTTAGCTAGAGACAACACGTATTTATATAATCTTTATTTTACACTGTAGTACAAACCGCGTATAATAAAAATATATTTTTAAACCTAATAAACAAAAAATAACTGAGAGAACCAATAGCATTGATACAAGATGCCATAATATTCAGCCCAGTTTACTAAGTTCATGTGCACGAATAAAGTTTCAGGAAGTAAATCGATTCAAGCGAAAACAATATTGTCAGAAGACTATCGGAAATATGTTGGTTTTGTAATGGCTTAATTCACTTTTGTGAGAAGAGAAATACCTGAAAATATCTATCTTCCACATACTTCTGCCCGAACACCTGGAATATATACACTTAAATATGTCGCATAAATCAAAAGATGCAATTAAAGGAAAAATGTCTCAGCAATGTAATGATACAAAATAGAAATGGACTACTTTTGTTTTATTTTTGGTGATACGTAAAGACATATACATTTCATTTCCATCTGCTCTATCAGTGCTCTCGGTAGCTCGTTGGTTAGCGTGCTCGTCTTTAACGCCCCCCCCCCCCAGGTTCGATTCCCGGTCGGAGCAAAAATTAATTGTGCGCTTTACTTGCAATGTTGCAGAATATGTTGCTGTGTGGCAATGGGAAAGACCAGTTCTTGGGATAACAATACCGTAAATTCAGTCTAGGGATGGCTATGTCCTAATCGCACGTACCCCTTGACTCTTGGCTGCAAGGCCGGGGCGCTGCGGGTAGGCCTTTTTTTTAGATGTGTCAGAGTACATAAATACACACGCAATCAGTAAAAATATGCAATTGCATGACGTTCCGCGGACTAGTAATGACCTTAGCAGATGGCGTGACTGAATACAATGAATGAATCAAGAACCATAGGTAATGATGTGGTGGTACTTTACAGGTTCGACTTCAAGGAAAAGCAGGTGCGCTACGATGCCTTCTTGCCGTCTGTCAACATCCAGAGCAAGTACAACATCTCGGGCCAAGTCCTGGTGCTGCCCATCATAGGACACGGGGATGCCAACCTCACGCTTGGTGAGCCCATTAACATGTCTTCATTGCAGAGTCGACTGTGGGAGACCTAGTGCCAAACCCCATTAGTGAATGAACAACGTTCATTCACATTTGAACAACGTTCGGAGTTTGTGTTTGGAGGTGTCTTTTTTTAATTGAAGCCTTTTATTTCGGATATGTAGATTAGCACCATGTTGTTTGACCCCCTAACTTAATTTTGTGTTTCAATTTTGAGGGAGAAATTATTTATAATTAATGCATATATTTGAGATATTTTAACTCGCGTTTTTTTATTGATTGAACATGCTCTTTCAAAATGTAATTCTCACTCCAAACGCGCAAAACGTTTATTGCAAACATTAGTCCCCAAACCCACAAATCCGAACGCTGCTCCAAACGCTTACCGAACATCTAAAATTCTGTTGTTGTTGTAGTAATAGTTTTTGATTATACGAATTTCGTACGCATTAGATTGACAAAAAACGCCTTCTTTTTTTTCCACAGAAAACGTGCACGTGACGTATGAGTACGAGTTCGCTTTGGAAAAGATGGAAGACAAAGAGGTCTACTTCATCCCGAAGAAGCACACCGACTTCAGGTTCAACACAACACGACTCTACATCTATCTGGACAACCTTTTCAACGGAGACAGATTACTGGGTACGAACTCGAATCAATAAGTTGATTAATTGATTAGCTAGCGTCAACAACTAACTCCCCCTAAGTTCCCTAAGTGTGGTGCATGTTTTAATCGCATGAGGCGGCGGTGATCTTCCCGCGATGGATGGCGATTCTCAGCGTCGCCTGAGTCGCCTACATGTCGGCTTGCGGGGATTTTCCCCAACCAGGTATCTCTCAACAGCAGGGCTCCTCCCCGGCCAGAACGAACTGTAAGCTCCCGACTGTTTTCGCAACATCTGTGATAGGGTAGTGCATGTACGTGTGAGAATGTCAAAGTAAGGGACGAACATAGAACAAGGAGGAGGAAGGAAAGATGGCGAGCAGTGTGCGGCCCGTTTGTTAGGGTACTGCTCCGGCATTTGCATGGTTCTAATCGAAAAAAAAACACGGCAAATACCGATCAGAGCAGCCAGTCGCTGGAAGTTTCCTCCAGCGAGCGACAGAACTCGACGTAGCAATGCAGCTATGCCGAAATGTAGCGATGCCGAAAATCCTACCGCCGCGCAGTCAGGGCTCGATCCTTAGGACCGCCCGGGCGAAGGAGGGTGGAAAATGCGCCATGTTGTTAAGAATTCAATAAAAGTGAAACGCAGTGACTCCAGTCCATGAGTAGTAATCATGGAGAGGTAATCAAGATGATTTTCTCTTCACATAACTTCCACACAATCTTCCATGATGATTACCATCATCATTAACTTTTCAGTCTGTTCTGATTCGTAGGATTACTCACTTCATCTCCTCGGTGGTCTTCGTAGGTTTCTTCTCCCAGTTGGCCTACAATTCAGAACCATTTTAGTTATACTCTCTTCCGACATTGTTAGTACATGGTTTTTGCTACGAATTGTTTAATAATTTCATTACACTAAGAACGTTTAACTTTTTCTTATATCTTCATTTTTATTGTGCTTAAAAAGTGTATCCTGCTTTATTTATAAGAATTTTCATTTCAGTTCTGCTCATTTGATTCACTTCAATTCTTTTGCATTCACTTACGCGTAGCACGATGGGCAGGACCATTATTTTATGTAGTTTAATTATTAATAAAAATATAATAGAAATAATCCCGATTATTATGTCAAAATATTATTGCATATAATTTGTTCAATATAAGGAAATTAGTACTAATCATTTTAGCCTATTTCAGCGGAGCACGTGTTTCAAATCACGTATAATGAAAGAATAGGGCTCCCCAAAACTTTAAATGAATCAATAAATAATTGGGAATCCGGATTGGCAAATTACAAATTCGGGAAAAAATCTTCGCGTCATCATAATGAAATAAGTAATTCAAACTTTTCACTAGTCGACTCATGGTAATAAACAAACCACTTTAAGAACGGGCATTTACAGTGGGTTCCGTTTGACCAAAAAACAATTTGCTCTTGGGGGCCCCGTGTATCGTGGGGCCCCAAGTAATTGCACCTGTGGGGCTGGCGGTAGTTACGCCACTGCTCCTAAGGCATCAGTTTCAAGCTTCGCGCGTTGCCTCCGTGAGCAGCTGCCTCATCCGTTACGGCAGCCCTCCGATCGGCTTGGGTGGCTTCTGGGTATCAACTGCTGTCACTGCAGGGAACATCTGTGGTTCGAGCCCCCACAGTGTGGCGGGATTCTCGTCACTAGACAGACAGTTAGGTCGGATTCATCCGCAGTACCCTAACAAACGGGCCACGGGCAGTGCGTGATCCTGCCTCTTCCTTCTATACTCTCCCTTTAATCAATGCACTGCACGCATTTTGGGTGTCCAGTCAGAGTATATCCCAGCTGGAGCGGTGCTCAGTCGGTGGGAGATACCTGGATGGATAAATGACTGGAAGATAACGTGTATCACAATGCAAAGCATCCACAACATTTTTGTACAGATCTGATGACTCGGCCATGGAACAACGGCTCCCCAGTTTAAGGGGAAGGATTTCTCCTAGTTTTTAATAACATATGCCCAATAGCAGTGATACACTCCATCAGGAACCGACTTCCCTCCCACTTGGGCCTTATGCAATTTATGTATTTTATAATTAACATAATTTTATTGAAAATTAGGTGAAAATATTTTAAAAAGTTGTACTATAATAAATTTAGGGATAATTTGGAAGAGTTAATTTCTTCAAAAACTCTGTGCTTTCATTAAAGTATTTTTAAGAGGGAGACGAATATACATTTAACTTTTGCGATATTCCAAAATGTTGATATTACACTAAAAATCGGAAGTGTTCAATTTTTATGAACGTACATTGCTCTATTTGAGACCTTTTTTTAATTTGGAACCCTTTTTTGGAAAAAAACGAAAAGGTCCTGGATGCTTCTTTTTAAGTGTCCTCCGAAATTAAAAAATAATCGTTTCAAATGCAAATCCCTGACATCATCAAAAATCGATCGAAAATCATGTGTACCTGTGTCTAAAAAAATTTAATTTTATACGGACCAGTTTTGCGCTAAACTTGCTTTAAGAAGATGATGCATGTATGGTTGCACAACTTGGTTTCATGGCACATCCAGGCTTTGCAAAATAAAATATGTTTATGATTGTTGTCTGGGCCAAAGCTTTGATTTTTTCTTCATCAATAATTATTTTTGTAGGAGAAAATACAAACAAATTTATGGACGAGAACTGGGAAGAACTGCTGGTCTCTGTGGGGCCTATATTTTCTACAGCAATTAGCGAGATCATTCATAACATCCTCACAAACGTCTTCAAGTTGGTTCCTGCTACTGATGCTTTCCTCGATGCAGGCGAATGGAAGAAGCTATAAATGCAGCAATGAAATGAAGCTGCAAGAACGATGTATACTTCATCGCCTAAGTCTAAACTCAGAATTAGATGGTAAAATCGCTCTTTCCTGAATTTCTTGCCTACATGCATGATTGTTTATTAAGAAAACAAATGTCTGTTGGAAAACAGTGAACACCTTCGCTTGAGTGAGGAGAAACCGTATATCTAAATAAGTACGTAACTATGGGATTCCTGATATGAGAAAGTAAGATAACTTTAATTAAGATACAATATGCACTATTGTTTTTTAGATATTCATCCTATCCAGTGATCTATTTATCACTCAAGTGTAAGCTTATCATATAAGCCATTCTTATAGGAGCTATTTTTTAGCAATGAGCTTAAATGTGATCGTAATCACTCTTTTCTTATAGAAAAGAAAAGCGCTACTTCAAAGGGAAATATCAATACTCTATAAGCAAATAAGGTAAGTGTTGGAAGAATGACAATGCAAATAAACATTGAGAGTTGTTATTTAGGTAATAACCACTGGCTATTATCACTACATTGCAATATTCTTATTATGTATGTATTTACAACTTCTTTCAAAGCAAATTAATTCATCACACGCTAACTATTCTGATAAATTGTTACTGGTTTTAGTATCTCAAAATGAGTAATATTAATTAGGTTCAAAGGTAGAAACATGAATTTTACAGAATTTATGTCGAAGTGCAATGACAGCTTTTTGTTACAAAGCCGACACATTTTTAGATATTTGCAAACCATTTTTTCGTTGTAGAGACATAAAATGGCCATTATCTGAATACCTTCAAAAATTAAAAGTTAATATCATAACATCGGTCCAGAATAATTCAGAATATTTAATTTTTCTACACTCTTAGAAAGTAAATATAGGTGAAACTAACTTGTACTAAAGTCATCTTCCTATTTTGTAAGAAAAACGACATTCTATAACGTGAATGTGACTGAAAATGAAATGAAGTTGATTGGATGTGTTATGAATACTCAATTGATTCTTGTAAACTGGTTTTTTAAATAGTCTGTTTTCTTAAGTAGAAAACTTCAATTTACTATACGTAGAATAACTGTACTGTGGTCTTGGCAACTGTAATGATTTCAGAGTTATAGTTAGAAGTGTAAGTGAAAATAATTTTAATGAGAAACCGCAGTTTAGTATAACTAGAGTAACCACAGTTTCGTATTATCCCACGGTTTTACTGAACTGTTGAGTAACCCGAGCTGTGGAGTAAGCCAATGTGATATTTAAATAATTATCTTTGTTATTTGTACAATTATACAAATAAATATTTGAGACTTATTTTCTCTTGAATAAATACCTTTTTTCAATTAATCCAGCGTATTCGAACTTTTCCATATGCCTCAATTAACTGGTATAAACTTTATTGATAAATTATAAGTCATCCTCTTTTGGGGGGCAGGGGGGGGGTCTTTTCAATATAGACAAGTAAGCTCATCCAAACTATGAACTTACAAGTCTTACGGATATACGTTTGAACTATACATCGGAGTGTTAAAGAGTGTGTCCGAACCGTAGATCGGCGAATTAATGTTGTTGATTTTTCTTTTCATTCCATACAACTCGCCGTCATGGAGTCACCCCCTCCCGTCGCAGTGTCAATTTTAAGTGAGGTAGTTGGAAAAAACTGATTTTTCTCAGTTATCCAAAACGGTATTTTTTTATTTTTCCAAGAAATCCGAAGAGATAGCAGTGATTCATGTGTGAAGTTGCTCGAACTTCCCTTGGCCGCGCGTGCTGCTGAAAGTCTGATTTGTTATTGGATAGAAAAGTACATATGCTTTCATTACTAGTCACTAGTAGTTTTTATTATTCATTATTAGTCTGTATGTGCTCACAAAAACACACACGTCAGATGCATGTTATTCATTTGTAGTGACAAAGGTTTTTGAATTTTGAGTAAGGTTTTAACATAGTATTCCTAATTCCACTTTGAGTATGTTTATTTTACAGCTAGTATCATGGGGTATTTAAGTATTAAAAAATTGCGAAATCGTTTTTATTTACTCTTAACAGAATGGCGGCGTCATTTTCCTGGAATACTGTTTTTGAAATATGGATCAAGAACTCGCAAGATGCGAAGTTTCACGCTATATTCATGCATGTATTTCCAGAAATGGAAGATATGTAATATTTGAAAGCTGCCTTAAAGGAAATTAGGAAAGCTGCCTTAAAGGAATTTGTGTCATCAAGTTCCCTATTCAGCAATT